GGGGGGAAGGGGCTGGTGTAGGGCAGGGAGGGTCTCAGCCTGGGGCGGGGTGGGGGCAGGAAGAAAGCCGATGGACTGGGGGCGCTGGGCTGACCGTGAAGGGCAGCGGGGCAGCAAGGGCGCCCCCAGCTCCAGGCAGGCCAGAGGCCCGGACTGTCCCAAGCAGGAGGCAGGTCGGGCAGGGCCTCCGTCCTGTTTCTAAGCAAAAGACAGACAGACGGACACAGTGTCCAGAACCCGCCACCCATGGGCGGGGCAGGGGAGGGGTGCTGCACCCTAAGACACCCTCCATCTAAAAACAAGTGGAGCCCGGCCGGCTGTGGGCTCGGTCCCCGGGGTGGGACGTGCAGGAGGCAGCCGAACCATGATTCTCTCTCACCACTGATGTCTCTCTCTCCCTCTCCCTTCCGCTCTGAAATCAATAAAAATATTTTTAAAAAAATAAAAATAAATAAAAGCAAATGGGAAGGGGCCCAGGTTGCTCCCTCCCGGAGGCTGCTCCTGGACAGTGACCTCCTCCTCGTGTCTGACCGCCTGCTTTTCCACGTGAGGCCAAAGCTGGGCAGGGAACCTGGGGGCGAGGCCCGGGAGATTCGAACCGTGAGGAGAGGGCCACAGCCCAGCTCCTGGGTGCCCGGTGCCCGGTGCCCGGTGCCTGGCTTCCACCCCGCCCCGCCCCGCCGCCCCTGCAGAGCACCGAGGCCAGACGGCACCCGAGACGAGAGGCTGCTCGCTGAGGAGCCTGGTGCTGTGGGCCCGGCCCCGGCCTGTCCGGTCACTGACCTGTCGGCCAGCAGGGATCGTGCCGTATAATTTGGAATTAGCTGCTCGGCCTGCAGCTGAGCCCCGGTAAATGCCCCGTCTCGGAGCAAGGCAGCTGCCGGCGGATTGAACTCTGCGGCCCCCATGTTTGAACCGGCACGTTCCCACTCACAAGGCCTATCGGTTCCCTGTCCTCTGCCACCAGGCGGTCAGGCGCTCGGGGCCTGGACCCGCGGCTGAGAACACCCTCCCCATCACCCACTGCCTCCCTCGGAGGCCTCTTCACGTAAAGACGGCATAAACTCCACCAGGACCAGCCAGTGCTGCTCACACAGTAGGTCCACTCAGCACACAGTAGGTCCACTCAGATTCCTTGCAGGTGGGTTGGAGTTAGCATCTGTGGCCTCAGGAACTGGGATCAGGTCCCTGGGGGGATGGAGCCCGGCAGGGTGGCCTCATGACAAGCCCAGGGAACCTGCCTTCCAGCCAGCAAGGGGGCGGCTGTCTGTGTGACCTCGTATGAGGCCCGCCAGGCCGTGGGTAGAACCCTACAAACGTCGGATTTGGAATTCTCGTTTTCAAAGTGAGATCATGGCAGGAGCAGGAAACGGTCCTTGGCAATAATAATTAGGGCAGAAACACAGGAGAGTCCGTCCTTAAAATGACAACTGAACACGCGTAGCTACTTTTGCTCCCCCCGACAAGCCCCCTAACACGAGCAAGAAAGGCTGTTTTGAAGCTAGAAACCCCCGAGGACTGGAGAACTGGGAAGGAAACCCCGCGAGGTGGGTCCAGGCGCAAAGGGACAGCGGAGCCGGCCTCCGGGGGCCGGTCCTGAGCCCACAAGGGGGGAGCGGGGAGGGGGGCGAGAAACAGACCCTGCAAAGGCTCGGAACAGATCGGGCAGGCAGCCCAGAGCAGCTCCCTAAAGAGCCCCCAGATCCCAGGGGGCTGCCCACCCAGATCCCTGCCGGGGGTGAAGGGGGGTATTCCAGGGGGAAGTGACGCAGGCGCCTGGGCCGGGGGACTTCGTGAACGGGACAGAGGGGTATCCGCACTGGGAGGCCGAGGGCCGCTCAGCCCCCAGCGTCTCCCCTTCGCCTGTGGGTGGAGGAGACCCTGAGGTGCCTGCGCTGTTCCCGGCCCCTGGGAGGCTCTCCCTTCAGGAAACCCCGGGCCAAGCCACCGGCCTGGAGCCCTCGGGCCATGTGGGGCCTCCATCCACGTAAGCAAACAGCCTTGGGAGGAAGAGCTGCCCGCAGCCCGCAGCCCGGGGCGGGCCCAGGGAGCAGAAAGCCTCGGAGACGCGTGTCTGCACCCAGAGCAGCATCCGGGAACCGGAGCCGGGAGCCAGGTGCTATTTTAAGGAGGACATTTGGGGATCAAAAGAACGGCTGCAAGACTAAAGCGGGAGAACAGCAAGAGAAGCGTCAACAGACGGGGGACAGACGGGGGACAGACGGGGGACAGCAGCGAGGCACGTCTGGGTGCAGAGCCGAAACACGCGGAGAGGGAGAGGGGAGGGGAGGGTGGAGGGGCGAGGACAGGTCACATGTGGGTGGACAGAGAGAGGGTCGTCAATGATGTAATTCAAGGAACTTCCCCAGAAGTGAGTTTCCACGTTCTCCACGCGATGGAGGGGCAGGGCCCCCACGGAGGCATCTCCTCATGGGAAACCAAGCCCGGGGCCGAGCACGGTCCCCTGCGTCCAGGCCCACGGAGGACCCGC